TGTACACATTGTACTTTGACAATAAAGGTTGATTTGATTTGAGGATACACCCAAGTCAAAGTATTTGTGGAGGAGGGTTAGGGTCCCTGTGCATCTCAATGTAACCCCTCCATTCGGCCTGCAGCCGGAAGCCAGATAATTGTGCCACGCTGCTGATTCTAAAGCAATTAGCTCTGATGTCCTCTCAGAAAGGGCTTACTCCCAATAATCTCAGCTTCTGGAGAAAAGCTCCTCTGGCAGCCAATCCTCTTAGGCAGAAAGTGGTTTGTTTGAGGGCCTCCAACTGAAGGCTGTCCCCATGTTTCATTTCCCTCTTTCAGAAGAAAGAAGGAAGGAAGGAAGGCAACTGCTGTCAGACCCTGGATGATTTCAACAGACGTTCATCCCTCCAGCGATGCAGACCGTACGCTCCGCTCTATTTTGATTTTAGGATTGAAACAGATCACCTTCATCTGCACCTAATCTTTCCCCCCATTTTTTTTTTTTTAAAAAAGTTAGGGCTGCAGAAACAGTCCAAGGGATTCAAGAAGCTCTCAGAAACTGGAGGATTGGTGGCAGCAAAGAACCCGCCCATCCCCAGATGCTCTTCTGGAAATAGGCGTGTTGTGTTTGGTGAGCGTGTTCCCCCGTTTCCAAATTAGTCCACTCTCCTGGAGAAGACCCCTGCAACCCCTGTACAATTTCCTTAATAGCCATGGTTTTCCCAGTTGCAATGTATGGCTGTGAAAGTTGGACCATAAGAAAGGCTGAGTGCCAAAGAATTGAGGCCTTTGAACTATGGTGCTGGAGAAGACACCTGCGAGTCCCCTGGTCTGCAAGGCGATCAAACCGGTCAGTCCTAGAGGAGATCAACCCTGACTGCTCTTTAGAAGGCCAGATCCTGAACTTGAAACTCAAGTACTTTGGCCACCTAATGAGAAGGAAGGACTCACTGGAGAAGAGCCTAAGGCTGGGAAAGATGGAGGGCAAGAGAAGAAGGGGACGACAGAGAATGAGGTGGCTGGATGGAGTCACTGAAGCAGGAGGCGTGAGCTTAAATGGACTCCAGAAGATGGCCTGGAGGAACGTTGTCCATGGGGTCGCGATGGGTCGGACACGACTTCGCAACTAACAACAATCCCCGAAGACGGCAGAGCCATCCTATAAACTTTATTTTTCTAACCTTTCATAAATGTTACTTCAATTCTCTTCGTCTTGAATTCCACAGGAGATATGCCTGAATTATATAAATAGATTACATAGATTAGACATGTCAAGCTCGTGACGTCATGTGACGTCGCGCGACGTATCGGAGCTTTTTTCCCATTTGTCGACAGTGGGGTGGGTGCAGTTTCCTCGTGACGCGTCCGGTCTGCGGGCTGGCAGTTTGACGCCCCTGATAAAGAGAAATCTAAATATATAGATTTGTATTTTTAAAGCATGAACTCAAATTTTGACCCCCCAAAAAAGAGGCAGTGCTGTGACAATAGCAAGAGTCCAAGGCTTGTGGCAACATCTTCTTTGTATTGTCCCTGTGTCTATGGTCTGTTCACCTGGTTCAAGGGATTCTATCAACACCTCTCCATATTTACTGTTTCTCACTGGATTTTTCAAAATCTAAACAGGTTTTATACCCAAGATGTAAAATATTTTAAATACCAGTCATTTTGCAAAGATGTTCAGCAGTGAAAAAGGGGGATAAGAACAAGTTGCTAACTAGAGAAATGCTGTACCATGTCCATAGGTTTGCTCATCTTTTCCTCATATCTGACAATTCATCTATGCTCCCAAAATTCTGAACATACAGAAGTCTTTAGGCTGAGTTCCCACCATGTAAGATGACATCACTAAGAGATGACTTCAGGGAGAAAGCATCATGCAAGCATGTGTGAGTGCGTGCACCCACAATGCTCCTTTTGAAGCATCTTCTCCAAAAAAAATTATCTTCCTTTCCATGGATTTTGTTCATTATCTTTTTCTGATTCTCCCTTGTCACAGGGACGGTGAGCTCCTTGTGAATTGCTGAATATGTTGATTATATAGCAATGGTGTTAGTTAAGAAAGTATTCAAAGTGAATTCTGGAGAAAAACAACATTTGATCACATTGTTCCATGTTCTTTTTTTCTTCTGCAGTCCTCAGTCTGAGGTGTAGAAAATAAATTGGGGGTGATTGTGTTATGTTCCCATAATGTTATTAAAAGGAATACAGGACCTTCTTTTTAGCAATCCAGAAGACTGGTATAATGCTACTCTTCATTTCATCTTCCTACAGATTATCCTTCAAAAATCTAATTGATGATTAGATTACTTTGAGATTCAAAGAATATTTTTAGCGATGGTGTTAACATTTAAATGTTTTAAATGACTAAGCTGTCAATTTTTACACTAAAAATGATGGCAAGGACCAACATCTTTCACACAACAATCATTCAAACCATTGTCATGTATTGTTTGTTTCTTCTGATGTTGAACACTGCTTAACATTTATGACTCATGACTATGAAGGGCAATCTTTGAACGTTTAAGGCTGGATGGCAGGATGATCAGGCCCACATCTTGCAACATACAGTTCGTCAACAAACGGAGTAAACACACTTGAAAATTATAGTTTTGTAATATTAGAATGACCCTTGTGAACTTACACACAGACAAATGGCTATTAATTTTTCAGCATTTAACTATGCATGATCTCTATAACATCATGAAAAAAATCATTTAAATTATCCATCCCATAAAAGGAAGCAGTAATTTGAGGAGAAATACCATAATTTGCATGGTGTCTGTAAGAATTTATTTGTGCTGATTACGGAGCACTATATTTTTAAGTGAACAATTCCATCGTGATGCAGAAAGGAGCTATATTATTTTTAACACGTAAATTTTAATTAGCTAACATTCTGACTGTTCTAAGTTTGCAGAGATTAATAACATAGTTATTTTTATGGCTTGAATTTTGCTGTATTATAAATTGATTTTGAGTGGGATAACTCTCTCTCTCTCTGGAAAAATCCAAAGTCAAAGTGGTTTTGCAGGTCACTGCAGCATTTCAAGCAGTAACAGAAAACAGACCAAATTAGTTCCCAGCAATCCCAAATACAACATAGGAAACTTAGAAATTGGGGTCATTTAAAATTTCAGAATGATAAAAGATTAAACGTTACATTTAAATATCAATGGGAAATTAGAGTTAAGAAAAACCTACTAGGTTATTGTCTAAAAGATGGAATGTCAAATCAATTAAGATATGTATAGACTGAAGATTATTGATGAATACTAGAAAGTTATTTTCCGCTTGATTGACAGAATAAGAACAGTGTTGGTCCGAATATGAGACAATAGATATTATGGGGGAAAGAGAGGGAATGAGTTTGTTGTTAATACTTTGAGATTTGTACTGATGATATTCAAATGTAATGGAATGACTGTGCTCAGCCGCCACACTACTTTTCAAATATGTAGATCAGACATGTCAAACACAAGGCCCGGGGGGGGGCTGGATGCAGCCCATGAAGTGGTTTCATGCGGCCCGCGAAGCCATCCTGGAAACAGTGAGGGAACGGCCCCCTCTGCTTTGGCCCTGGCCCAGGCCGGCTGGGAGCCAATGTACAATTTTGTGGTGGCCATCTATGCTGAAACGCATTCAGTCTTAGCTCCATAAGCCCCCCCACCCCTGCATGGCCTGAGAGGAGCAGTGAGGCTCCTCCAGTGGACCATGCCTTGGCACTTGCCACTGTCCCACCCCCTTCTGCCAGAGACCCTCAGATCTGTCCCACTCCTGCCCAGGCCCCCACAGGCACCCTTGACGCAAATGATGTAGAGCTGGCCACACCTACTTTGTCCACACGCACCCAGTAAGCCACACCCATCCTGGCCACACCCACCCAGCCCCCTGAGGGCAACCGCAATGCTGATGCGGCCCTCAATGAAATTGAGTTTGACACCCCTGATGTAGATGTAATATTGAAAAATAAAATTTAATAAAAAAAAAACTTGGGGGAAAGAAACAAATTAGTTCCCAGCGGACGAGCAATAAGTGTGCACCTTGTCCGTTACATCTTGAGACCTGCCTCACAAGAAGGCATGCATTTTCTGCCCTAACAGAGACTTTCTTTTAAGAATTATCATTCCTAATCATGCGGAAGGAGGATCCCTTATCCGTAGATCCGTTATTCCAGAAGCACAACCTTATCTTTTAGTTCATCCTGCCCATCCTTGGCTTGTTTAAAAAAAAAAAAACAAACACATTCCTAGCTGTCTCCCTAGGTGATTTCCCCACTAGGCGAGCCCAACACAAAAACCTCCTCCGGAAGCCACAGCGGTGAAAAGGTCTGGGCTTAAGTGGAACAAAAAAACCCGCAAACATCCAAGGTCTGACTGAAGTGGAACAAAAACCCACAACCCTCCCGCAACACACAGACAGAAAGCCCTGGCTGCCAAGCCCAGGAGAAACAAGCCAGCCACCCACCCATCCGGAGCAGCAGGACTCCCTCCAAGGACTGGCTTGCAGCTGGGTGGGATGATGGTCTTGCTGGGAAGAAGCCAGGCTGGCTGGGGGAGAAAGCGGGGCAGGAGGGAAGAAGGGTGATGGGGGGGTCGGGCAGTTGCACCCCCCTGAATCCTGCTTGTCACCTTTGCCCAGGTCGCCCCCAGCCCTGAGCTGGCAGCCAGAGCTGCTCTCCTTCCCTTTGCAGCAGGGGGGCCGGAGGGGCGCTGGCCCCAGCCAAGGAGGGGGACGGGGGACTGGTGGGCCGGGGGACCAGGGGTGGCCAGCCTCTGGGAGGGAAGGGGAGGGGGCGGCCCCCGCTTGAACCCCTGGCCGATCCGCAGGGGAGGGTCTCCTCTTCCCCCTCCCCTCCAGCAGAGCCACCTTTCCTGGAGGCTTCCTTTGGAAGGGGGGGAGAGCCTCGCCCACCACCCTCTCCCACCCACCCTCGCTCCCCCGGGGCGGCTGGGCCTGCTGCGTCTCCCTGCCTGCCTGCCTGCCTCCGGGAGGCCGGGCCGAGCCGGGCGGGGCACTCACGATGGTGACGCTGGCCTTGCGCAGGTCGCGGTTCTCCTCCTGCAGCGCTTTGCACTTGAGCTTGTAGGTCTCCAGCTCGATCTTCAGCACCTTGTTCTCCTGCTGCAGCGAGGCCAGCCGGTTGGTCAGCTCCTCCAGCCGGAACGGGGAGATCACGATGCCGCCCGCCTTCCCGGGGCCCGCGGCCGAAGACGACGACGACGACGCGCCCCCTCCGGGCCCCGACGACGACGCCTCCGGCGCCCCCAACGCCCCGACGCCGCCGTCCGTGTCGCTCTCGCTGGCGCTGTCGGCCATGCCGGCAGCGAGATAGGCAGGCAGGCAGGCCGTGCGCCCTCCGCGGTGCCGTCCGCGCCGCCGCTACTGCTGCTGCTGCCGCCCCTGCGTGGCCCCGCCCCTCCGCGCCGCCTTCCGCCCGCCCGCTGGCCAAGAGGGGCGCCTCCGACGCCGCCCGGTGCGCCCACAGCGGCCCCTCCGGCGCCCTCCGGCACTGCACCCTCCTTCGCCGCCTCAAAAAGGCCACCTGGGCTCTTTTATGACTCGTGGACTTCAACTCCCAGAATTCCTGGGGGAAAGGGAGAGGTTTCCATGCTGAGCCATGCTGGATCAGGAATTCTGGGAGTTGAAGTCCACGAGTCATAAAAGAGCCAAGGTGGCCTACCCCTGCCCTAGACTGAGACTCAATGGGTGGCTACTCAGAAGATGCAAGGCTTTTCACATCCTGATGGATGTGGCTCCCCACAGGGGGACATGGGCCCCATCCTTATTGCCTTTCTGCTGTAGGCAGAGACACGTACATCCTCTTGGAGGGGTTATTATACCATTAAACCAGTGCTTCTCAACCTTTCTAATGCCGCGACCCCATAATACAGTTCCCCATGTTGTGGTGACCCCCAACCACTTATACATTACCGGGTGCCATGGGCGTGGCCAAAGAAAAGGGGGAAAAAATGGCGGACAGCCTTGTTTGGCGACCCCCGTGAAATGGTCATTTGACCCCAAATGGGGTCCCGACCCACAGGTTGAGAACCACTGCATTAAACGATGTGCTTGGTGTTATTAGTCTAGAGCAGGAGTAGGCAACTTTGGCTCTTTTATGACTCGTGGACTTCAACTCCCAGAATTCCTGAGCCAGCATGGCTCAGCTTGGAAACCTCTCCCTTCCCCCTCAGCATGGCTGGCTCAGGAATTCTGGGAGTTGAAGTCCACGAGTCATAAAAGAGCCAAAGTTGCCTACCCCTGTCTTGGGCTACAGCTTCCCTCCAAACCTCTTTGGTCTCCTGATAGTAGAAATTCATTCAAAACCTGAATTTAATTGTGGTGTAAAGCAGCCTTCCTCAAACTGATGCTGTGACCTGGAGACCCTAACATGCATGGATCGTATGAACTGGAAAGAGAGCTTCTTGAATTAGCTGCAGATCTGTGGGGGTGTAGAACAGTGTTTGTCCATCTTGTCCACTAGGATATCATGCTTGGATACATCCTTGACATGTTCACCCTTGCTTCTGAGAGCACCTGTATCCTAAAGTGCTCACGGATAGGGTGTCTACTCCTTCTTCCCATTTTTGGATACCGAGACTACCTTTGTTCTTCTCTACTGGCACCTCTGGATTTTTCTAAGATTATAATCTGCACTTCTGCCCGAGAGGAATTTCAGATCATGGGAACGTAATTTTTTTAGGTAGCAAGGTGGCTTCTTGTGATGCCTCCTTTATCCCCCAGAAGTTGTCTTTCTCAGACATCTCAGCCATGGCTCTCTCCCTCTTCAGCTGTGCATCAGTAAAACAATATCTGCACTCCCTTAATGGTTCACATATCACTTGAAGTCCAGAAATGGCTGTGCTTGTGAGGAAGGCCTAGGTAGGACCTTGGGCTCCAGAAGTGCTTGGCTCAGGAGGGAGATGAGATTTTGGCTTCATGGGAAGGGGGGAATAACTCAGGGTCCTTGGCTCTGAAAATTGAGCATTCCCACCCCCTCCAAGCCACCCCCAAAGGCCTGAGATGGAAGATCTCAGAGGTAACTATCAGCAGGCATGGAAAGGAAGAGAAACATAAGCAGCTCTTCTGGGAAAGAAAAAGAGAATTTGGGGGCAGACCTGGATGAAAGGTGAAATAAAGAAGGCTAAAGAAGAGTGAGGAACAAAGAAGGGACAGGTGCGACCCCAAAAAGACAGGACAAGAAGCAACGGATGGAACTAATCAAGGAGAGAAACAACCTGGAACTCAGAAGAAAATTGCTAACATGGAGAACAAGTGGAACAAAATGCCTTTGGAAGTTGTGGGCACTCCATCACTGGAGACTTTTAAGAAGAAATTTGACAACCATTTCTCAGAAATAGTGTAGGTTTCCCGCCTGAGCAGGGGGTTGGACTAGATGACCTCCAAGATCCCTTCCCAATTCTTTTACTGTTACTGTTTCTGTGGAGGAGTGGAGCAATTCACCATCCCGAGGGGGAGAAAGGGGGAAGGCAAAGCTGGCTTAGGAGATTAACACCAGGCACACAAAGCATTCTGCAAGCACCACGTCATTGAAGTGTTTTAACACAATTTATTTTATGCTTAAATTATCAACTAGATCATCCAGTGTTTGTGGGTTGTTGTTTTTTTTATACATAAGTAATTAGAGCTTTTATCAACCAATCCTGTTTCCGTATGAAGATAATTAACAAATTAAAAGTATTTCACCAAAAAAAAAAAACCCAAAATAAAAATGCCCTTTAAAACACAGCAGCCTTAACAACCTAATATTAATCTGCTAGGATGATTACACATGATTGGCTTCCTGAAAGATTCTACATCTCAAGAGCCAGTACACAATAGAGTAATATTTTTTACAGCGTGCTGCCACTCTGTTAGCTAAGAAATTCTCTTCCTTCTTTCTCTCCCCCCCTTTTTTTTCTTAAAAAATATCCCCTACCAGCGCTCCTAAGAGCATCATCCCAAACTGCCAAAAGCGTCAAGCGTTTCCCCCCAGTGGAAAGCAGGACAGGTAGCACCCCCCCTCCCCAAAAGCAACTACTGTATATGTTATGGTTTCCAATAGGTTTGAGATCATTCCCACCGGAAAAATTGGCAGGAGCAACAAATATTAGATGGGGGGCTTTGCCTTTAGAGGTTATGGATAGGCTCCCAGAATCAGCCCTGCTCTCCGACAGGGGCTGTGTCCAGGCGGCCTCGGTCCCCCCCCCACCCATGCTGAAATGAGGAGGGGTTCCTTGGCAGCTGTAGTTGATGAACTGCGCCCCGGGATCTCGTCCTGTCACGTCACAATCTTAATATATTATTTGCAAAACTGGAAAAGAGTTCATCAAAATAAGGCGGAACGCATGCATCAAAATATTGGTACTCAGGAGAGAATCCTTGGTTTCACAGAACTACAGAATTCCCCATCTTAGGAATCATTAAATTGGCGGGAGATTTGAAAGATTTTTTTTAAAATCAAGCTAGCCTTTTTCTTTTTTCTTTTTTTTGGCATATACAAACATTATCATCGCTAAATGTACAAGAATCTGTGAAGATACACCCAGAATACACCTCGGCCAGTGTTAGCGGCCATCCGAGACCCTGATTTTCTGTTCAATGCAAACGCACCATTCCGTTTGTGAGCTAGGAGGCAGTGCCTGATCAGCCTGGAGCCTCTATTTCTCTTTAGAATTTACATCGTGTTATTTACAATGAAACAAGCAATGTTAGTCTTCTTTTTTTCTTTAAAAAAAAAATGAAAACAAAACAACACCCCCCCCAAAAGGTGTATTTTAGTACCCTGACAGTTTTGGGTCTGAGAAAAATAAGGCGAGCTGTTGTGGATTTTAATCATTTTTAGTGCCTTTTTGTAGTTTGAACCGTTCTCCGGTGTGATCTGAATCTCTCTTGCAACAGGAATCCCTCCGTTTTTCGCCATGGCCTCGTGTTGCTTCCTTGAAGCGGTCGCCTTGGAACGTGTCCGTCACTTCTCACTGCATCCTCTCCAATGGTGTGAATAAAAGTGGATTTCCATGCTCGTGTAGAACTGGCTCATGCTAAATTAAATTTGTTTGTTTGTTTTTTTTTTGTGTGGTGTTCTTCACATAAAAACCATGCGGTTAATGTGTGGAAGCAGCAAACACACAGACGCGCGCACGCGCGCACACACACGCACACACACTCTTTTGTCCGTTGACTTGATAATTCCTGTTGATTTCATTCGTCCTCGAGTTTCTCTCTAGAATACTGGCAGTAAAAGCACACAGTCTTGGGTTGGGTGGAAAAGGATGGGGAAGAGAGAAAGAGAAAGAATACCGGGGTTAGAAACATCCGTTGGAATAGCATTGAAACTTTTAACCACAAATAACAATTCTGCATCTCTTCCATAAAACAGATGATCCGCCTTACAACCCTCGCTGTATTGACCCATTCGTCTGGTCCAGGTTAGGCCATGTTGGACCACATCTTCAGCTGCCCATAGACCGCTGAGTTACAGCATGTGAGCTTCCACCAAGACGGTTGTCCTGGGCCACGAGGATGAGTACTTGAAGTGCAAGGATTACCCAACCCCAGCTACCATATTAGAGCAAAACGGAAGCACAGCTAGAACAAGACACAGATCCAGTGTTTTTCAAGATCTGCGCTGGTTAAACAAAGCTGGTTTTTAGCCACCTGTACAGGAAAATGTTTCCCAATTCGACGAGCTAAACAAATGAGATCAGAACAAAAAATTTCCGTGTTCGAAGTTATCTGGTTTTGTAGGTTACAAAATGTAACTCACATCCAATCGGACTAGTAGTGGATGAGTAAACTTAAATGGCATAGCGCCCAGCCCGCTGAAGGACGGCCTGTTCCCCCCACCCACCCCCCATCATATCTGTCTGATCAGGCAGCATCAGCTCCGTTCAGGTTCCATCAATTAAGCTTTGTCAACCTAGAAAATGGGCCTTTTCTGTTGCAACCCTCTTCAAGTAAGCCCTAATTCCATGGTTATTCCCTCCAGCCATGGGTTAAGGTATTGGGGGGCTCCCTTTAGAATGTGGGGGGATTGTTTCTAATTGCTTCCTTCGGGCAATTGTGCTTTTTTTTAAAAAAAAAAATGTTGCATAGTTTTATTCTGTTTTCAATTTTGTGCCCAGAGACATTTTGGGAGCCAGGCAATTTAAAAATGAGTCAATAAACTAAATAAATACATAAATGTAAAAAAAAAAAAAGATAAAGGTAAAATCAGTGGAATTAGAAAAATCCAGAGTTCTCAGAACATTGGTCCATGTAGGCGATCCACAAAATTAGCATTTAAAGAACAGCCACCGCTGTGATTGTTACTTTAACAACTCTAAAAAACCCTCACTTCTCTCTAACTTTTTTTTCCCAGAGATTTACTTCCCTCTGGACTGCAGGGCACTTCTCTGACCTTTGACCTTACTGT